TGCATACTATTAGGGGTGTTTTCGGATGTCTCAAGCTTAAATCAATTGTGATTCAAAAATAAAAATATGCAAGATACAATTAAATGTTTATGTATGAGCATGCATTATATATCAACGCAGATTTTGCGAACCATGGAAAAATAGTTTATATTGTAAGATCGACACGAACTACGACAGAAGGAACATCAGAAAGTTGTTCAATTTATGATTTTTAGCTTTTGCCATCGTCGCGAAAAGACTTTTGTAGTCAAACGAATAATCAGCGAGTACGCGTAAAATTTGTGTATAAAGTGTTTTAAATACGAATAAACAAAGTGCATTTCTTAATGAAGAAATTGATGAGAAAAAGTGAAAGAAAATGAATGAGTACTCTATATACATACATCGTATTAATACCACAAATGCAGGCGAAACTCGCTGATAAAATTATTAATATCGTTGTTTTTGTAAAAAAAATTTTGAATGAAAAACCGTAAAATGGGGCTATTTGGCACAATTTTATACAAGAATCTTATCTAGAATGTTTCCTTTTTAAGTAGCAAATCCTTTTAAGCTATTGCATAGCTTCTATCGCGGGCTTTGAGGGCGGCGATGCAATCGCGAAATCCCGTAACGGAAATAAACCTAACACATACTTCTAGGTCTATTTTCGCATGTCTCAAGCGGAGCAAATCAATTTAAGAGACAGAGCAGGGTGTATAATAATATTTAAGATAAAATTTTTTTAATGGCAAATAAAATTATGGACTTAATTAATAAAAAATAAATTATTCAATATTCGGCATCATAATATTAGTAATATTATTATTATTTTAGTAAATAGCTACCACACGCTTTGAAACAGTATCTCGTTTGAATTGAACAATACAATTGAAATTAAGTATTTCAATCGGATTATCAATGGAAATAAATTCCCACTTATCTTAGCTGGCGATTTCAACATCAACTTCGCTGATAAAAAAGCAGGAAGGAAGGAAAAATTTAATTTGAAAATAAATAATGATTCACAAGAATCCACAACAAAATATGGGATCACCATTGACGCGGTATTTTCCAGATGTTTAGAGAATATCAAGTCTCAAACTTTTGTTTCTTATTTCAGTTACCTTAAACCTATAGTTTCAATGATAAAAATTCCTGAATATCCTACATGTATTGTAAGATAATAAAAATATTTTAAACAATATTAACTTTCCATTTATTCCATAAAAGAAAACATGTTTTTTCTTATCGGTTACAACGCTCAAAAAGTGTAACTTGAATTAATATTATATCAAAGAAGAAAAAAATACTGCATAAAAAATAAATAAATAATTATAATTGCATAAAGTGATAAAAAAAAATGCTATGCAATAGCTTTACCCCGGCAGTCCTCGACTGCACACGTATCTTTCTTTTTAATTCAAAAAAAAAGTATAAACAATTTAACATAAATTCAGTCATAAAAAACTTAATTGTTATTACCATGGTTGTATTTAAAATACATTTTAAGCTCTTGTAGCTCTAATTCCTTAAGCTTGAGCTCATTTTTTGATTGCCGGAGCTTTTCTAATTGTAGGTGGTGCCGCTTGTTTTCTTCTGCGTTTTCTTTTAAAGTAACTGTTATCTCTTTAACAGCATAACATACACAACTGATACTGGCCTATTTCCTTTGTGGCGTCGACATTTGCTTTCAACCCATCCACAAGAGTTTTCATGACTACTGCCTGCTCATTGTCGTTTGACTTAGGACAGTCGGACACCGCAGGCTGGCGTTTTTGAGATATTGCTATTAGTGTGTATTTATTAAATGGCCCCCACCAGATGCTCTAGCTTCAGAAGCGTTGTGAGCAACTTTCTTCCAGATGAAACTCTTCCAATTCATCCAAACTTGCTAAAAATTAACTTAAGAATACTTCTTTAGAATAGGAAATTTTCTGCTTTTTACTACTAATTTATTTATTTTTGCTGCATCATTTTAGCACTTAAATTTACTTACATGTTTGCGCACACCAACTTCACATAATTGATTTTAAGTGAATAACCGAATATTTTTTTTGGAATTCGTTTTTCAGAACACTCATTTCCACTCGGAATTAATTTGGAAATTAAATTGTGAAAATTAAAGAACACCGATTGTCGCATTGAAAGTGAATTGGCTTCAAATTCACTCGGAAGTGAATTACAGAACCTGCCTGTATAGGTTCAATTTATTTTGCTAAGATATCTTACATATTGACCGATATATAAGATATAAGACCAACCAGAAGTTTGAAAACCTATTATTAGGTATATGGAAGATAGGTGTAGTATTGACCCAATTTTATCTATTTTTGGCATTACTAGATATTACACTAAATAGATACTCTCTAAGTTTCATTAAAGCACCTCACATACCATCAACAATATATTTATTAGTAGTAAAGTCAACCCTATGTTTGAAAATAGTGATATTAGTTATATGGGGGCTAGATCAGATTTTCACCCGATTTTACACATTTTAGGCACATAGATGCACTGTTAGGATAAAAAACACGCTCACTCAATTGAGTTAAGCTAACTTACATATTGGCCGATATATGGGGTATAAAGTCAGCCGGAGGTTCGAAAATTTTTCTATTAGGTATATGGAGACTAAGAGAATTATTGATCTGATTCAATCCAATTTTGAAACACAGGCATACTATTATCAGAAATGGATTTTCTCCGAAGTTCAATAATATATCCCACATATTTGGTACATAGTAGCTTGAAGTTTTGGTTCGATTGGGAAAATTTTTGGTCATAAGGACACTATTCGTGCAAAGTTGTATCCAGTTATATTCATTAGTGCTTAATTTGTATACTGAAAAGTGAAACAATCAGACGGTATTTAAAATTGTGTTGTATAAGTAGTCGTGGTTGTGCCGATCTCGCCCATTTTCGCACTGTAACATAAGAATATCAGTAAATGTTACCTACCGAATTTGGTTAATCAGTCGTGTAGGTCCCGAAATATCAGTTTTCACCTACATATGGGCGGTGCCACGCTTAAACCGATTTGAGAGCAGGGCCACATTGGTTTTCGATTAATGGAGTTTTGTGGGGGTTGCAATGGTCCGATTACGCCCATCTACAACACAAACCGTTTTATGGTGCCATGTTACCAAGCCAACATGTGTATTCATTAAGATATCTGATATTTTAGATATTTTGACTCAAGTTTCAACTTGCCCGGACGGACAGGCAGTCACCCGGATTTCAACTCGTCTCTTATATCATAGTATATACAAAGATACGAACAACCGTTATGTGAACAAAACTATTATACTCTGTAGCGAAATGTTGAAAGAGTATAAAAATTTTCTAAAGCGCCATTTTTTTAAATTCAAAACAAAAAAGCTTCGATCAATTATTAGATTATTAATTCGTGCGGTATTCTAAGAGAGGGCTCTACTAGTATTATTTCGCGTCGTGTTCATCTGTGGCTATATTCATTTCAAAGGTACTGTCATTTCGCGTCGTTTTCAGTAGATGTCATTTGTTTTAGCATGAACAACAATTTGTTTCATTCATTTGAAAATGTCGGAATTTGTACCAGATAAAGTGTGTTTGCGGGGAGTTCTTCTTCATTACTTGAACATGAAGAAAAGTGCTATCGAAAGACATCGTATTTTACTGGACGTTTATGGTGACCATGCTTTAGCCGAACGAACGTGCCAAAAGTGGTTTGCACGGTTTAAAAGTGGCAATTTCGACTTATACGACGGAGAACGACCCGGACAGCCAAAAAAAATTTCAAGACGAAGAGTATTAGGAGTTGATCAAACAACCGTTTCCAGACGATTAAAATCATTAGGATTCATCCAGAAGCTTGGAAATTGGGTGCCTTATGAATTAAAGCCAAGAGACGTCGAACGTCGATTCTGCATGTCGGAAATGTTGCTTCAACGCCACCAAAAGAAGTAATTTTTGCATCGGATTGTCACTGGCGATGAAAAATGGATTCATTTAGATAACCCATCACCATCGACATCCACGGCAAAGCCGAATATCCATGGTGCCAAGGTTATGCTATGTATTTAGTGGGACAACAAGGGTGTGCTCTTTTATGAGCTATTGAAATCGGGTCAGATGATCAATGGGGACCTCTACCGAAAACAATTGACAAAGTGTGCTCTTTTATGAGCTATTGAAATCGGGTCAGATGATCAATGGGGACCTCTACCGAAAACAATTGATTCGTTTGAAAAAGGCCATCGCAAAAAAACGATCAGACACGAATCAATAATTTTTCATCATGACAACGCTCGGCCACATGTTGCAAGCCCAGTTAAAAACTATTTGGAAAACTGTGGTTGGGAAGTTCTACCTCACCCGCCTTATAGCCCAGACATAGCACCTTCCGATTACCACTTGTTCAGATCAATGCAGAATGCTCTCACCGGAGTAAGCTTCACTTGAGAACAAGGTATCAGCAATTGGCTCGATTCTTTCTTGACCTCCAAGCCAGAGAAGTTCTTTTGGGATGGGATCCACAAACTGCCAGAAAGATGGGCAAACATCATAGCTTCCGATGGGTAATACTTTGAACATTAAATGCATAACAATTTTTTCACGATAAAACTTTTTTTGGTCCAATTGATTTTAGGTGAATCTCCAAGGATTAGTGACGGTCACCGCAAAGAGCTTTCGAAATAGATCAACACAAACCGCCATTACTTTTGAAATTATTAATTTCTCTTTTTAAATTTTATGTCAAGTCGAAACCATAATGCTATATTTTTATAAAACAAAATAATTTACTGGCAAAACATTAATAATTTAAAATTGAAATATTTACAATATTGAATTGTTCGATTATATCAAATTGTAAAATTCCAAACCATTTTAAGTAGTACACCGTAACAGGGCAATACGGTCAATAATTAAAAAAACACAAATTTCATAGTTAAAGCTAAATTGTGACACTTGAGTTGGACTCGATTTCCTGCATGAAATTTTACTGCAATAGTTTTGTCAATACGAGTATATGTACTTACGTCGGTAACGGCATTGGGATTAGCCTTATGCCGCAATAGCAAATTGATGACTATTATGTGGCCCTGCTGTGCTGCCTGATGCAATGGCGTATAACCAACATTGGTACTCATTTCGATATTAGCATCATTTTCTAGTAAAAATTTAACCATCTTTATTTGACCATAATGTGCTGCTATATGTAAAGGAGTGTAACCGGCTTTGGTACGCTCGGATATATTAGCCTGATGATCAATGAGTATTTGTGCTATATCAGTTTTATCTTCTTGCGCACACAAATGCAGGGGTGTTAAACCATTTTTGGCTTGAACGTTTGCGTTAATTCCATGCTCCAACAATAAATTTACCATATCAACATGACCTTCCTGTGCCGCTAAATGCAACGGCGAGAAGCCGGATTTGCTGCGACCATCGGGATCTGCACCATGTTGCAGTAGTTGCGGTGCTATTTCCATTTCATTTTTTTTAGCTGCAATATGCAGGGCGCTATGTCCATTTTTAGCACAAAGCAAAGGAGAAGACCCTCGCTCTAGAAGTAAAAATACAACTTTCGGGTGATCGAAATGTGCCGCGACGTGTAAAGGCGTTACATCGTTCTTGCCTTGACAGTCAATTTTAGCTCCACGTTGTAATAGTAACGCTACAACTTTGTCCTTACCATATTTAGCTGCCAAATGCATTGGGGTAAATCCTTTATTAGTAACTGAATCTAATTCCGCATTGTTTTCGATTAGCAATTGAGCAACCTCTTCTTGTCCCTCTTTCGCTGCAATATGTAATGGAGTATACATGTCTTTCGTTACAGCATCAACGTTAGCCCCATGTTGCAACATCAGCATAATTATGTCAATATTTCCTAAACGTGCGGCTACATGAAGTGGTGTTTGACCCTCTCGGGCCCGTGCCTCAACTTGTGCACCATTTCGAAGTAAAATACGTATAATATCTGTTTGATTTGCTCTAGCGGCTAAATGTAGTGGCGTCTCTCCTCGAACGGTTGGTACATCGGGTATCGCATCATGTTGCAATAGATATATGACAATATTCATGCAGCCCATAAAACTAGCAACATGTAATGGCGTCAGACCTGATTCCGTTGTGGCACTGATGACTGCACCATGTTTCAACAATAATTCAACTACGTTGATGCGATTTTTTTTACAAGCGATATGTAACGGCGTAAACCCATTAAGAGCGCGCGCATTAGCATTGGCGTTGTAGTTTAGTAAAAGCTTGGCAACGCGCGCATGACCACAATGGGCTGCAACATGCAAAGCTGTTAAATAGTCAACGGTTACTTCATCAACAGGCGCCTTATGCGCCAACAGTAGTTGAGCTGCTTCATCATGTTCACCTTGTGCCGCCATGTGAAGTGGAGCAAGCCCATTTTTTGTCTTTGAAAGTATGGGAGAATTATTCGCAAGTAATACCTCAATGACATCGACATGACCAGAACGGGCTGCGCAATGAAGTGGTGTGAGACCATCACGAGTAGTGGCATTAATATTTGCATTTTTTGACAGTAATAAATCTAGGATATTAGTTTTACCCCACTTGCAGGCTACGTGTAAAGGCGTTATATTATGTTTCGCGGTAAAATTAACATCGGCTCCATGCTCGATCAGCAAAGTAGCAATATCCACGTTGCCATAGTGCGCTGCGATATGCAATGGTGTAAATCCCGATTTAGACACAATATCCGGATTGGCCTCTCTCTGCAATAACAAAGTAGCGGCATTCATATCATTTTTCTTAGCTGCAATATGTAATGCTGGCAAACGAACTTTGCCACGAACATCGCACTCTAAAAGAACAGCAACTACTTTATCGTGACCTTGTTGCATGGCAACAGCCAGTGGGGTAAATCCATCCTAAAAACAATAATATACGAATAATTTATTTTTCGAATGTATGTATAAACTAAATATAATATTATAATCTATGTAGGTATATGCATGTGTTTTTAAGGTATGAATAGTAGAATTCCAGACCTAGGCTATATGTACATATGTTACATGTCAGACAACCGCAAAGGTTCAACGCAACAAACAGTACACCACATACTTGCAGATTTTTCTTACTTTTGGACTTTGAGAGTATATAGCTGCAATACAAACTGACCGATCAAAATCAAATTCTTGTATGAAAACTTTTTTACTTGAAAAAACCTCACCAAATTTTGCATTGATGACTGTCGAAGACAATACTATAATCTCCAAACTAATTGTTAATATCGGAGTACTATTGCATAAGGTTGCCATACAACTGACCGATTAAAATTAACATGCAGATCTTTTTCGTTATTTAGTAACCTTGATTCGCCTTGAAGGTTGTCTATATCAAATAATATGGCTAGAAAGAAATAGCAAACGTTTGCCGTTGGATGCAAGCTGTTGGCCGGTTACATTTTCAGAACACAAATCGTTTCTATAGGCAATTAATGTGAAAGGTATTATAGATTCGGCAGTCGAAGTTAACGCTTTCTCTTCTTTTGTTTACAATTACTTCAAATATATGGATGGAAACTGTTGGCCGGTTAGGCTTCTAGATTTAATTATACATATAGCTGCTATAAGAAACACACCTGTAAAGGGTTCAGCCGAAGTTGTTTTTTCTTGAAGTAATTTATAACACGTTCGATTTACTTTAGATATGTAGCTAACATAAAGTATTTTCATTTATCAGGTACTTCAAATGATGTGCTTGTTTTTAAAAAAAATATTTAGAGACTTACCTCAGTGGCGAGTGATGGGTTCGCTCCTTTTGACAATAGGAAACGAACGCAAGCATCGTGATTTTCCTGGGCTGCCATATAAAGGGGCGTAAAACCATTTAATGACTGCACATTAACATTCGCATTATACTGGATAAGTAATTTAATTACGTCTTTTTGGCCGGCCAATGAAGCAATATGTAATGCTGTATTACCCTTTTTTGTGGCATTATTTACCTTAATGCTCCGTCGTAACAGTTCACTCACAATATCGATATAACCATCTTTAGCTGCTAAATGGAGCGCATTTAAGCCATTCTAGAATGAGAAAATAACATACCTTCATTTGTATTTTTAACACGCTTTTATTAGCTTGGGTTGTATGTACGTAATGGAATCTTAGAGCTCAATTTTTACTGGTTTCCAGAAGTCTGATCAACTTGAAACATTGCACACGTGACACCGATGACAATGCAATAATTTGATAACAGTTTCCCATTATTATAAAATTGGGCGTACCCCGCCCCCTAATTGGTTAATTGTATATATCTTCCAAACCACTAAAGCTAACTCAACCAAATTTGCTGAGAGGAAGTCCTTTTAGCACTTTTTCATACGCCATGAAAATGGGTACAATCAGGTAATAACCACGCCCACTTCTTATATAACGGTTATGTTGAAAACTACTCAGAGTTCGATAACTCACGAAACAAATGCGCTATATGCACTAAATTTCACAAACAAAATGGTAGGGAAGAGCTTTACAGGAGAAGGTGTAAAAATTGTAAAATGGCCGTGGCCCAACAACCTTTGGGTGACATCCAATAACTCAGGAACTATCGAACTAATTTCAACCAAAATGGGGGATGGTTTGAAATATATATTTCGTATATCGGGCACATCACACTTTTCCCATAATAATACAAGTATTTTTCGGTTAATATTTCTGTCAGTTTATATAAGGAAATATTTTTCACTTCTTAGTTTGAAAAGTTTAAAAGCATGTTCTTTAATTTTTTAAAACGATATTTATTTATATAGTGGACTTAAAGAAATTTTGGTATATGGTCATTAATTCTCGATAGCCTGAGACTCCAGGCAGCTCTAGTGTTGTTGTTGTTGTAACGGTCATCTAGTTCCCGCTTAGGCGGTAAGGTTCGGGTTGGTTGTCGTGGAAGTTATCCAACAGTAGGCCCATGAAACATGCTGTTTCGACTCCAAGTACGCCATTCACTGGTTTTTGCGAAAACATCTCAGCAGAAACTGCCTGACGAGGAGTTCATTATGTTCCTTGATCGGAAGCAAGTGGGCCTCACTTTGCAAATGTTCATCCGGAGACGTCAAGAGGCACCCATCGTCTGCGTTTCACTACATCCAGGAAACCATATCGGTGCGGCGTAGTTAATGACCGACCGCTCGATTGCCTTGTATGCTGCCAACGTTTTTTCGTCTTTTCTCCAAGAGCTGCCGGCTAGCGACTTGAGGATTTTGTTGCGGCTTTGTACTTTGGTAGTTATCATATGAGGAGTGAAGGAGCACAGGCTGTCGAATGTAACACCTACAATCCTAGGGTTGTTGACAGTCGGAGTTTGAACGTCATCGACTGTGATGTTCAGTTCCAGTCTGTACTCCTTTGCCTAGTTGAACCTGAATATGGTCGCTATAGATTTGGTGGAGGAGAGTGTCAAGCTCCTTTCAAAAAAGTGAGCAAGTTCGAAAAAATAGCCGTTTACTTTTAAACACATGCCATGAGCGTGGGTTGTTCGATGTCCACAAATAACGTTGTATGGTTGACTGCGTCAAAAGCTTTTGACAAGTCCAATGCTACGAGGATCGCCCTATCACAGGGTGGTTATTGATTAAGGCCATGAACTATGGGCATTTATGACGCTAAGTGCTGTGGTGGTACTGTACACTTTGCGGAAGCCATGTTGATGGTCTACTAGGTTCAGATGGAGAGTGAACGTCGGCAGTAGCAAGGCTTAAAGTATCTTCACTAATGGGGAAAGGAAAGTTATCGCACGATAAGACTCCCCTTAGTTGGCGAGTTTCCCAGATTTTAGTAGTGGGCCTTGTGGGTTTGAAAAGTGGTCAGCGTAATATTGAGGACCTTGGGTAGATAACTTACTCCCGTCAAACCTAAATGTTTTAGAATCAACATGTTTATTTGGATGATTTAGCCATTTTAATGACAATTCGTAACTCCTCATCAGTGAAAGCAAGTGGCGCGCAGTCTATTGGTATTTTTCGAAGCCGTCGGGTAACACATCTTTTGGCCTTGTCTGTTGAAGGGTGCAATGTGAACTGCCGGCTAAAATAGCTTTCGCATATCTTCGGGTCCAAGGTGGCATGGCCATCGCATTGAGTTTCAACCCAATCGTCTTGTCTCTTTGGGTTAGACAAAGCTTTGGAAGTAGACCAAAGCTTACTCACACCGTTGGAGAGGTTACAATACTTCAGAAGCTCTACCCATTTCGTCCTTTACTCCTGGTGGGGGCTTCGTCATTCATTGTGCAAAATGTCGATTCGTCTATCTGTTCCACCAGCTCCATTACCCAATGATCGTTTGACAAGCAAAAGTGCCAAATATCGTGGTGAGCGTTTAAGTCGCCAAGCACCAAATGATTTTCACCACTATGTAGCGCACCTTTGTTTGGGTGATATCTTGTTGGGCGACATGTAACTGGAGGCTGTATATATTAAATATTTCGAGCTCGACATCGCCTAGTTAAGCTCCTTGGGACCGTAGAGGTTCTTTGTTGGCCAGTCGCACTCCCGCAGTAGTGCGTTGGCAGCATGGGGCTACATAACTTGTACTACACTCCCTGTGTGTCTTAAGGCCTGAGCAGGATTTAAGATGACTTCATACATCGCATGTATTACACCTAACTGAGGTGGAGTTAGGATGAAGGTTTTTAGCGCTAATGCAGCAGAAGTATTTTTTCAGGCCTGGGTTGGACTAAATGTCAGCACAGGTCTGAAGGATGTGGAGCAAAACTGCTGCTAGGAGTTGCTCCAATGATGACAAACTTAACGATCCAAATAGGGTTAAATCGCTGAAATACATCCCTTGGACGGATAAGTTTTGGTAACGTAGAACCGGCTGTTAAAGGAATTGAGACATATCTAGTAATGCTTATCGAATATCGGTTATTGGCCATACTAAATATATTTCCTTATGTTTATTATCGGAAAATTATTTGATTTAGGATATTAAAATTGCGTCTCTAATTTTAACGTAATAATTTATAGCAAATGATATTTGTAAGCAAAGTATCCAATTATAAGTTTGTATTTCACTCTGTGTATAAAACTACAGAATACAAACAAAAAATGAAACGCTATTTCGCTATGTACTCGCAGAACCACAGCACGGAGAGACATGAAAGTTTGCACAGTTATTCGTTTACCAGGGGTACCGGTATGAAATTTTTTTTGAAAATGAATTACTAAACTTAAGTAAAACTTTAGTAAAAAAAAATTATTCAAAGTATTGACGATTGCTTTTGACATATTTTGCCACCTTTCTGGCAAGTTGTGGATATCATGCAAATAGAAATGTTCGTTTTTTGAAGCAAACCAATCAGACACCCAATTTTCGACTTCTGCGTAGGAATCGAAGTGATGCTGAGTCAATGCGTGTACCATCGATGAAAACAAGTGGTAATCGGAAGGGGCCAAGTCTGGTGAATACGGCGGATGGGATATCAGCTCCCAACCAAGTACTTTGATTGTATCCCGAACCGATTTTGCCTTGTGTGCAGGTGCATTATGGTATTAAAAAAATTACTTTGTTTCTGTAGCTGACCAGTTTTAAATAATAACATCGTAATCGTTTCAGTTTGTGATTGTGTACATATAATCAAATACATCTTAGCTTCAGCAAGGCGTGGTCTTCTAGTTTTTCGATATTGTTGTTTGCATTTTTTCAAAGTATAATATCTTGACGTAACTCCGACATATACTTTTCGTTAATCGATTATTAGCAAAGGATTCTATGGCGCTCTGGAACGTTCAAGAGCAGTTAGCTAGCTGCAGCTGGAAGCGACCGGTTAAATTGAGTGTAAAACTTCAAATGTGTTTTTCTCAAAGCTATGTTTTTTGAACTGGTGACCATTGTAGTTTAAAAACTTCTGTGTTGATTTCAACGAAATTTATACAGCATTGTGAAAATATGAAAAACTAGTACATATGATCGAAGGATTTTTTTAATTAAAATTTTTTATAAACAAATTAACTGTTGCAAAACAAGTAAGGAAGGGCTAAGTTCCGATTTTTTCAATTTTTGCCAATACCACATACTACTAACATGCTACAGACTAATAAAATACTCCCACTATTTTATTAAGGTACCTAACATGCCATCACCAATCATATGGAGTTAAGTCAGACGAATGTTCGAAAATCCTGATACTAGATAATTTTCACCCCATTTTAGGCACAAAGATACTTTGCTATGCGTAAAACACGCTCTCTCATTTTCTTTGAGATAACTCACATATTGGCAGATATATGCGTTATATAGTCACCCAGAAGTTAAAAAATTTTTATATTAGGTATATGAGGGCTATAGGAAATATTGGACCGAATTAACCCATTTTTTGACACAAACATACTATTCTCGAGTGTTTCATTTATTTATTTTATTACATGAACCTCAATTATATATCTTAAACATTGACCGATATTTTCGGTAAAAAAGCAGCTATAGGCACCGGGGTCCACAAATTCAGTACCTAGGGGCTTGAACAGTTTTGGTTCGATTTAGACATATTTTGGTCAAAAGGTGGCATACTTTAAATGCATTGTTCACGCAAAGTTTTACCCCGATATTGTTGCCACGCCCACTTGAAAAAAAAATGTTTAAGTGAAGATGCCCATCTCTAATGTGACCCTTTATACCTTGTATCTTTTCACCCATTTTCACACTGTAAGTAGAGGTGTTAAAAACATTTGCTTCCAGTGAATTTTGTTATTATATCTTTAGTAGTTTAGGAGATATGCACATTAAACCTATTAGGGGCGGGACCACGCCCACTTAAATAAAAAAATTTTAACTGAAGATGCCCCTCCCTAATGTGATCTCGTGTACCAAGTAACAGTCTTGTATCTAATTGCGGAGCTTTATTATGGAAATTTATTTGTTTTTGAATAATGGCGTTTTGTGGGCGTGACGGTGGTCCCATTACGCCCATCTGCAATACCAACCGTCTCACGGTACCAAGAAACATGTGTACAAAGTTTCATAAAGATATCTTAATTTTTACTCAAGTTACAGCTGGAACAGACGGACGGACGGACAGACAGTCACCTGGATTTCAAAACGTCCCTTCATCGCGATCATTTATATATACATAACCCTATATCTAACTCGATTAGTTTGAGGTAATATAATATAAACAACCGTTAGGCGAACAAAACTATTATACTCTATATCAACATGTTGCGAGAGTATAAGATTTTCCTGTGGCCTATTTTGTTGGTTTCAAAAAAAAAGCGTCGATCAGGCACTTGAATATCTATTGACAAAACTAATTTTTCAAAAATTTATTTAACATAATAAAAACTTTATATATATATTTCTTGTGTGCGTGTGTATGTCACTGAACTCCTCCTAGACGGCTGGACCGCTTTTGATGAAATTTTTTGTTTGAGTTCTAGGGGATTTGAGGATGGTTTAGATTCACAATTTGGTCCACTGTAAATTGTTTATTTAACTAGTTTTTCATTTATAAGTAGAATGTTAGAACGTTTTACATAGAATTCCGGCAGACTGCGCGACAGTCGTGAGAGATATTCAAAAGTATATTTGAGCCTGGTAGATTGCGCTGCGATCACATTCTAAGATAGCATAAGTATAGTTTAAACTATTAAGACTATAGACATGTGTATGGTGTATAGTGTCTAAACATTCATACTGCTATACTACTATATACGGAAATAGTGAATATACAAAACTAAGAAATATGTAAATAAATAAAAAAAATAAATTTGTGGACACATGAGGATTAGACATAAAAAAAACTGTTGCCCATGTTTGAAGCCACTATTTTGAGTGGGAAATTTCAAGGTGAAGTTGTACTTCTATCACGGATTCCAATTATTCCCTTAGATTCGCCGTTACAATTTAAACATTTATAATAACCCATCTGCTTGGCATTTGCGATGACTATTAATAAGGCACAAGGTCAAACAATGACGATTTGTGGATTAGATTTAGAAAATCCGTGCTTTTCTCACGGCCAATTATACGTTGCGGGCTCGAGAGTAGGAAAACCATCGAATTTATTTGTTTATACCTTTCAAGGATTAACCAAAAATATAGTACATCCTATGGCATTACGATAACTTCATTTTTTGTAGAAAATTAACTCTAAGAATAAATACCCGTAAGTGAATAAATTCAACCTTTTCACAATCAATTAAAACGACTTCAAGATTTCATTCAATACATATGACGTTAGATATTGTAATAAGTTTCTAATAAAAATTTTCATCAAAACGGTCTAATTTTTACAGCTAATTTCAAAAAGTTTACATTTAAGACGTGAGACAGGACAACGTCTGTCGGCCTTCTAGTATTCTATATAAATATATATAAGAAAGTCGTGTTAGTTACTCTACCATATTTATAACTAAAGAACGCCCGAACCGATTTGGTCGAAAATTGGTTGGGAGGTAGCTCAGAATCAGAGGACGACCATAGGATACTTTTTATATATTTATGTTAAATGTCAATACAATTTATAAATTCAAAAATTATATTTCAAATCATAAGCATGTGTTCAAAATTTATGTAGGAATCATTTTAATATTTTATTACTTCAAACCAAAAAATAATAATAATAACACATAGCTACTGTAAGCACACAGTAATTTTTGTAAAAATGTATTATTATTATTGTTATACTGATTGTTGTTACTGAACAAGGCGTTTTTTTTAGGACGCACTAGGTGAAACCGGTAAGGCATTTTTAATTTCACAACGGTAAATCGCATTGACAGCTGCCTTACCAAGGCATTGCGGCTAGTTTGCTAGATTATGGGCGAACGACACACAGGCATATATATAACAAACCAAACGCAACATCTACCATAAAAAATGGCGGAATAGCTGCAGTGTTATTAAAAAGTTTAATAAAAATTTTAGGTTAGGGCATAACGGCTCACAAGAATTCTTTGAAATGCTAGATCAAGGCAATATTTAAAAGGCAGCGATGAAGTTTGCGGTGGTGCTGTCTTTCCGCTGACTGGTGATTGCCGACAGCCCGGTCATCCTTTGCTCTTCTTTTATTTCCTTTTACAATAGTTGTTGCCAGGCCATCAGATGTATTTGAAATTCGCTACTGTTTTTGATGATAATGAAAAGGAAAATTATCTAGATATCCCCGGAATGACATCACATAGTCTTCGGATGAATATTGGTTGACCTATTATTATTCAGCGTAATTTTAATCCACCTCAATTATGCAACGATACACGTTTGGAAATCAAAAACATGACAGAAAATATTATTGTAGCAACCATTTTGACTGGAAAATTTAATTGGGAAATGTCCTCTTGCCGCGGTTTCCAATATTGTCAGAATGTACGATACGAATAGAGCTGAATTAATTGAATTTGAAAATGTTTATAATTAAAAACAATAAATATTATTAAATAAAGAATGATCTAGCCTCTTTCATTTTCTCCAATGTTATCAACTTTAAAATGACTCATTCAAGTTTCAAACTTGAATATAAAATTAATAAAATAAAAATGTGAAAAACGGTTGGCCTCAAGGGCCATCCCTGCAACTTCCCTCTAATTTCATACCCTAACGTTCAAATTTCGCTTTTTTCACTGCTTTTGAGCTCTTCGAAATTTTTCGTTTTCGATATCTAGCAAGTAAATCAACCGATTTCCACCCGGTTTGCGGCAAACGATGTGTTTCTTCAAGGTTTAGAACTGATTAGTTTTTGGTGTCGATCGGTCAAGTCGTTTGGAAAAAATTCGAAAAAAACGATTTTTCAAAATTTTTATTTTTGAGATTTCTCGAAATCTACTGGTCCGATTGGGTCCAAACTTACACGAAATTCAAGTGCAATGAAACCCTTTGGAATGCCGTTTAGTTTATTCAAATCGGTTGAGCAGTATAATAGTTATAAGAGGGTCACATACATCCACACACACACACATACATCCACACATACATACGGACATCATCGTAGAAATATTCGGGGAAGCTTCCTCGACCCTCAGAACGTCGAGATCTGTTGAGAACTCGATTTTTGCAAAATGGGGTGAAACCAATATCTTCCCGATTTTTAGAAAAGTTTCCATTTTCTTAGCGGGAAGTTAAAAAATCCTATATCTTATATCTTATGTTTATTTGAGCTTAATAACAAATCTAAGAACGGGATCCTCCTGTATATAAATAAAAATATCTAACAAAGAAACCATACATATATATCGCTTATTAAGAACAGGTTTGGGCGGCAAAAGAGTCCTAGATTAATGTGAACACAGTCTAACAGAACGGGATTTTCTCCTTGGTCTATGTGACGACGAATCTATGGATATAATTTTATACATTTTAAGCGTTTCAGAAATTTTGTTGCCTAGGACCATTATTATTATTTAAAATAAATATTTATATCTTTAATACGAAATACCATTATACTCACAGCGTTGCAAGCGTTGATATCTGTGATTTGCCCAGATTTCAAAAACTCCAATACTTTTCCCAAGTCACCACTGCGCGCAGCCCGAAGAAACGAGATAATAGCTTCATTCTGTAAAAAAAAAAGGAAAAGATTAAAAAACGAATAAATGATCTTCAAACTGATTGCCAATATAGTGTAAATAATATAGACTATTCAATCACAGCTGAAAATAAACTAATGAATAAAAGTCTCAAGGGATGTAGAGCAGGTTCGGCTCCGCGAATTAAGTTGTAGCGGCAGAATTTTGTCAAGTTGACAGTCCTTGGCCGGAAAAAATTCGGGTCCGTTCCGGTTACATAAACCCGACTGTTATGGGAACGGCCGCGAATTAAGTTGAATGTGCCGGTGCGAACAAAAAAATAACAATTATTCGTTTCTTGTTAATGGTTATACTTTATTTTACATTCTGCCGTTTTGTTGTTACAATTATTCGGTTATATTCTACAATAATGTTTACTTAGCTAAATGTGCGATTTGGTAATGCAAATGAATTTGAAAGTTAAGAATACAATTAGGAAATACGGGTTGCTGTCACTTTGTTTTTACGTTGCCAAAAATGCATTTGTTTCCTTTTTGTGGTAGTTCGCTATCCACTTATAGGTATCTCGTTCGGTTTTTAAGTCTAAAACGTGATACGAACGTTTGTAAAATTGTATGCTTCTGCTGAACCCTGTTGTATTCGCTATCTGGTAATTCTGAAAAAATGCCTACTTTTCCATTTTTTAGGAATCTATTAAATATATCTGCCATATTATTTCCATCTATATCTTAGTGATTTAAGAAAATTTTGCGTTTAAAATTTATAATTTTTATTTCCTGACTTTTGTGTTGCGTGAGTATTATTTGTGTGTGAAAACGATTTACTACTGTATCTAGGATGGGGAAATGGTCGTTTTGCTCCTCGACTTGCGAATGTATAGTGTCATTGGTACTAATGTTTTCTTCTATTGAGGGTCCCTGATTGGTATTGTTATGAGTTGTGTTATCGGATATTGCATTGATTTCGCCAGTATTTATGTATATTCTGTAACTATAACTAATATTAAAAACATATTCGCCCAATTTTAAAAGCCATCTCTGGAGTCTCGGTTTATGTCTTTGCCATTGTATTTGGACTTAAGCCAAACTAGCGGTTGATAAGATGTTTCCAATTCAAATTTTCTGTATAAACGAAAGGCCTAAAGTAAATTACTGCCCAAACTATTGCTAAGACTAAATTTTGATTGTAGTCCTTTTGTATGTCTTATGATATATTTTCCGCACTAGGATATAACTTTGGTTTTTGTTCTTTCTTAAGTTTCTTCACTCGGACTAAATTTTGATTGTAGCCCTTTTGTATATCTTATGATATATTTTCCGCACTAGGACACAACTTCGGTTATTGTTCTTTCTTATGTTTTTTCACTTGGACTAAATTTTGATTGTAGTCCTTTTGTATATCTTAGGATATATTTTCCGCACTGGACATAACTTCGGTTATTGTCCTTTCTTATGATTTTTCACTCGGACTAAATTTAGATTGTAGTCCTTTTGTATATATTAGGGTATATTTACCTTCGGTTATTGTCCTTTCTTATGTATCTTTAGATAGATTATTTTTTAACCGACTACGCCAATTAAGTCGAATGTACCGGCGTGAACCAAAAATAATAAAACAATTAGTCGTTTGTTGTTAATGGTTATACTTTATTTTACATTCGCCCGTTTCGTTATTACAATTATTCGCTTATATTCTACAATATTGGGATATATACAACGATATTAGGAAATACGGGTTGCTGACACTTTGTTTTTACGTTGCCAAAAATGCATTTGTAGTCATTCTGACAAAATCGAAATTATTAGTGCAATTGGGTCATTGGCTCCAACAAACTTGTAGTTTGTCATCATTACTTATTGTGGTTTTGGAACGTTTGACTATTAGTTTGATAGTTTTGAACCCTAGACTGGCGGTCTAGGTGTTCTGTCACCTGAGTACACAGAGGTGACACCTTGCTGATGGGTTAATATCAAGGCTGTTTCCGTCCCACTAAAACTCTGGCAGGCCTCGGAGAACATTCCCCTCCCGGCAACACTAAGCCGGTTTGGTAGGTGTTAGTTGAGATAACTCCTTACATGCGTTGGTCGACTCTGAAGCGTCAACCCTCGCCTTTGTCTCGTAACTGAGATAACTTTGGCACCATATAAGGCGATCGACTGCCTTTCCGGGAAGCGTAGTGCGGCAACAAAGTACACCAAGAAAAGTATGTATATTTGATACATATATGTATGTAAAATGTGCAGCTAACAAAAAAAAAAACATACATGCATAACAAAAACAAAATGAATACCGCAATATACTAAAATTAAAAGAAACAGTAGAGTAGCATGCAGAAAATATAAATTGCAACAAAATTTGCAAAAAAAAACAAAAAAGAGGTGACAATAAGTTATAATTGTGTAAGCCCCATTATATGCATACGCATTTCTAATAAGAAATATAAGTTCGGTGAAAATAATAAATATACAGTGCAAACAAACAAAACATTTTCAAGTAACAAAAAACTTTACAACCGGGCGCGTAACCCAGCAGTAAAACATACATAAATACCTACCACTTAAACAAGATCCAAATTAAAACAAACTAGAATAAAAAAAAAACTCCCTAAAACCAGGCACAACTAACTAGAATTGGGAATTGAGAACAAAGGCCCGAATACCCGCCGACACACACGTACATATAATATATAAGTTAGTCGTATCGCTTTCTTTTCTTTTAATTCATGATCAGGGATGGGCAAAGTCACTAACTGGCATACCTAGCCAAATGCCGACATGACATCCCTAAATACCAAAAGCGAGAATTTTAGGTCAAATTCTCACCAGAATTCTGAAATTAGTACACAAGAAATGAAATGCAAAACCAATTAATTTATTAATAATACTTACATAAATTTGTACAAGCATTTAACAACGCGCGTCAAGAAATTTTTTAGCAAAATTACATTTTCTTCGTTTTCTGCAGCCAACTTTACGTCTTTACGAGCTGTCAAATTGGAATTTTTCAACCGCTCAGCGTTGCCGCCACGTCATTAAGGTATGCGGCATACAAAACTATGGGCATGAGAAATTTTTGACAGTAATTTGCCACTGCCGCATTTATTTAAGGGGTTAAATGGGTTTCGTCGGGTAAAAAAAGGCCTATTTTCAATAATTTTTGTTTCTAAATAAAAAATTATTTATTTAATTCAAACTTTTTTCTGTCTTAAAGATACACATTTAAAGAATAATTTCTGAGATTTTCAAAAGAAAAAAATTAAAACTTCACAATTGTAAAGTCATTTTCGGTGACCCCTCGAAAAAAAGGTTCGTCCGCGTTGTCAGCATAATTCCTGACAGGATCATCTAAAATGAAAAAAAAAGAAAACGTGTTTTAGTTAAGACCATAAAGTCGTGCTTTAACGAAGGAAAAAAAGTTTAAATTGGAACTTTGGCAGACCTTTTTCCACCAAAATGAAAATTTCGGTCAAATTTGCTCGACACTTTTTTTGTTTAAATAGTTGTAATTGACAAAAAAAAATCCTTCGTCCAAGCACGAGTAAATTGTATCACCTTTATAAAATTTCATCAAGATCGGTTGAGTAGTTCACAAACAATCTTGACAACCGACTTTGAAAACAGAGAAAAACGCGTTTAAAGTTTTAAGTGACCATATCCTCGAAAACTAAACTGGTATCAACTTGAGAACTTAGGACAATATTCTAGAGATGTTATAGAATTAAATTAAATCTTACGAAAAGCGAAAAACGAGCACTTACGATAGGGCAAAGCGACAGCGAAATTAGTTTGCGATCAGGAGTTGACTGAATAGCCTCGTAAAGGGGGAGTAGAGAAACTATCAGATGATAAGATGTAAACAAAATCACAGCTAAGAGATGTCTATGGAGATATGACAAGGGGAGTCTGGGATTAGAGTTTTTATTGGCATCCAAGATGGCCGACTTTTGACCGAAAAGTTGTCCTTAAATTATTGGTTATATGCAAACTTTTAAAATATATGTTGCCAATATTGTAACTGAGTATGGTGTAACAGTGTTGCTTAAGCTAATTTTAAACTACATTGTAGGAAAGAAATATATCTACCGTATTTTATATTATGAAGATATTGCAAATTCTGCAAATTTATTTAAAAAATATGAAGACTATATTTAAAAACTAAACCGTAAAATATATAATAAGTAGTTTGTTTTATCTAAATAGTTAATAATAAAATATTGTACATATTTTCATCGTTACATGATGAAATAAAAAACGTTAATAAAATTTGCAATTAAAAAATGTATACCTAAATTACAGAAAACATCGGCTCTTATATTATCTCTTCATATATCTTACAATGATATATTTTTTTGATTGTTCAAATGAGTTATTATGACAGATTGTTTATAAATAAGTTAATTAAAACGCATAAAATTGTGCTACGTATTTATCTATATCAAGATGGTATAATTTAATTTTTTGTTAACATCATTCTATAACCAAAATTGATAATAGTTATAAATACAGTTACAGCTTTCTGTGTTTTGCGAAACGCATTTTAACCTCTCGCCACCCTGATTAAGCAGAGGCGGCCATGTTGATTTTATTGTGAACCTACTCTCTCGAGGTGAGTACTCCCTTATACCATGCTGAATGGGTGGGTACGGACGGAGGAACACAAATTATGTAGGAAATGTTACTGATTCTTACTTGATAAAATATTATAAAGTGCCTTTTTTAAATGTTGGAAATATGAAACATAAAACAACACATTACATAGCAGATGTCCCTTTACATGGGTGCGCACCGCTTGAAATGTCGGCCGTAATCCACGCTTATTCTTTATACATATTCGCTGCCTGTGCGCAGCATGCATTGTATTCTCTTTTTATTTAGCAAAGGCAACACACTTAATATTAAAATACCAAACTGTTTAACTAAAATATAATTGCCACTTAACCTGAAATAATATTACCAGACCCGCTCATTCGACTTCTGCAAGAAGTTGATTATTTTTGATCGTTCATTCGCTTTGTCACACAGTATAATCA